CTGAAGGAGCCACAAGATGATGTCAAACCCACTGAGGATCAGCCCACAATGGGTACTGCCATGAGAAAGACAAAAATCTCCACAGCTGAGCCCTGAGGTTCATTTCTGACATCAGAATCTAGTCTACACCAACGAGTATCTCAGGAGACAGAGCAGAAGGCAGCCTCATTTGCTCCCCCTCCTGCAGAGAGTTCAACTCTATGGTAAATGACAAAGAGTGGCCAACTCCACTGTACTCAGCCTTCCAAACTCTCAGTTTGGAAGGCCACAATTAACAACTGGCAGCTCCATACCTACCTTCCTACCCACTATGACTGTGATAACTAGTTTTTCTGTCCACTAACCCAAGCTAAAGTTATTTGGGAAGAGATAACCTTGGTTGAGAAAATGTTCCCCACCAGATTGCCCTGTGCATAAGCCTGTGGTACATTTCCTTGACTGGTTGATATGAGAAGTGGTGCCACCCCTAGGCTGGTATGGTGTTCCTGGATGCTATAAGAAAGCAGGCTGAGAAAACCATGGTGGGGACAAGCCAGTAAACAGCACCCCCTCATGGCCTCTGCATCAGCTCCTGCCTCCAGGTTCCTGCCTTGAGCATCTGCCCTGGCTTCCCTTCATGACAGACTGGGCTTGGGACACATAAGCCAAATAAACTCTTCACTCTTCAGGTTGTTTCTGGTCATGGTGTTTATCACAGCAATAGAAACCATGAGTAATACACCTGCAGATCTACTACCTTCTTACACACACAAATGCAGCTGATAGTGCTACTGATACACTGATAGTGATACTGGTACAAACTGCATTGTCAGTCAAGGAGCAATTATCCCAGGGAGAAGCAGACAGGGTTTCCGTCACATCACCTCTTCTGTGATGTGCAATGTGACAAAGTGGGATAGGCCTAAGTTTTTCAAGATACAGGGAACTGGCTCACAATCCAACCTTGCTATTTAGCAGTTAACGTGGCTCTCCCAAATGCACACGAGTTCAAAGACATAGTGTACTGTCAACTCTCTGCACGTAGAAGCCTCTCTAACAGAACTGCATGGATGGAACTTGAGCCAGGGGCTGTTAATCTAAGGGCTTGTCTCCATTTGTCTGTGATGCGGAGACAGAAACAGCAGCCCCCACAGGGAGTGGCCATATGCAACGGCTTAGTCCAGTTCTTAAATATATACACACTTGATGGGCAATGAGATTCTGTAAATATGTTCCTCATACTGGTTTAATGAATAAAGCACTGTTGGCCAATAGGAAAGCAAGACAGGCGGGACTAGGAGACAAGGAGGAAAGAGGAAGGAGTGGGGAGGAGTCAAGATGGAGAGTCTGGAGAGAACAGAACCGCCATTCCTCCGCTTTCGGTAAGACCACGTGGAAATACATAGAAATGGGTTAATATAAGACAGAGCTAGCTGATAAGAAACAAGTAACTGGCCAACAGAATTATATCTAATACAGAGTCTCGGTGTGTTATTTGGGGCTGGCGTGGCGGCGGTACAAGACCAAGCGGCGGGAAGAAAAACCTTACTTGTTACACATACTTGATGGATCACAGCTATTTACTAAACGATTTAAAGCCCGTGTTAACAATGTAAGTTCGAGAACAACCTGCTCAGGTGGAAGAAGCTGGAGGTTACTTCTGAATAGTCACAGGACCTAGAAAGCAGCAAGACACAAAACTCAATCTGTACACTTATAATCATGTGGTTATCTCAGCACAGGACTAATGAAAACCAACACTTTTAAAACTAGCATACAGTCCAGCAACCTGGGGCTAAGGCAAAGGACTACAAGTTCAGGACTACACAGCAACATCCTACAAATAAAAAAAAATAAGGGAATGCAAGTAACTGTATTAAAACCCCACATAGTTACACAGTGGGCTACCTGTTCGGGTCCTTACTCGGAGTCTTTTCTGCTTCCATTGCAGTCCTCCTCCATCAATCCTGACCCCAACCACAATGAACTCTGCTCTCACCTCCTGTAAGTAAATGACCCATAGAAAATGGCTGGCTTGTGCCGCTGCCACTACCCAAGATAATTACAGTCGATGACCAACACTCTATTTCTACTCTTTATTATCCAATCACTGCAGGAACAGCTCTAGAACATGGTGGTGTGTTTCTGTACTCGCAATACTCAGGAACCTGAGATAGGAGAACTGCAAGTCTCCAGCATATTGAAAAAGCAAAGGCTGGGGGTGTAGTTCACCATACATGTGATCCAGAGAGCAAGGGAGAGATAGAAACTCTACAGAGACATACACATATAGCTAGCCAGCAGCTCATACCCTATCTCCTGTTATGAGGGTACCGCCATTAGTGTCATGCTTTGACATCCTTGCTGTACCCCAACACTCACAGTTAAGGCAACCTGGAGAAGAATACCAGAATTACAGACAAATCTATAAACAGGGATCATCTCTATACAGTAAAGGGTAGTTAACCAGCAGAGTCAAGAAAGCAGATGCAAGCTGGGTTTAGGGGCTCTCTCCTGTCATGCCAGCACTTGAGGGCTGAGACAGGGTATTCCTCGTGAATTGAAGCCTAACTGGACTACACGGTGAGTTCCAGGTCAGCCTGACCTATAGTATGAGATCCTATCAATAAATAAATAAAGCAGATAGAAATTTAAAGTAGACTCTCCATAGAACAGTGGTGGGGAGGAGGGAGGTTCAGGTCAAAGCAGAGTTACTGTAACACCCCTGCAAAAGACATCCCCACTCCTAGCCCAACACTCACTTCCTCCTCTCTTCACGGCCCACTTTCCTTCCCACATGTAATCCATCACTCCCCGATTCCAACATCAAGCCTGACACAGGCCCTCATCTGCTGGGCCAACCCCACCTTCTCACAATGAACTGTGTGCACATGACCTAGCCTGCCTACAAAGACCATGTCCTTCCTTATCTTGCTAGTTTACAAAGCTTTCTTGAGGCCAGGGTTAGCACACTCTACAGTGTTACTTAATAACTGAGTACTTCCAAAACGGAAAGGGCATCCCAGAAGAAAAGGAGGTTCATACAGGTGAGTGCTACCTTATTCAAACTACCTTGAGTTTGAATCAATAAAATTAAGAAACTGAAAAATTCCTTAATAAAATAAACACAAAACCTACGTGCAAGATTGATGGGAGATGTCATTCTGTAAATATGTTTCTATTTTTGATTAATGAATAAAGCACTGTTGGCCAATAGGAAAGCAAGATAGGCGGGACTAGGAGACAAGAGGATTCGGGAAGTAGGAGGCAGGAGATTCAAGATATAGGACCAACAGGGTAGAATTCTGGCCCCTCTCTCTGGTAAGATAAGACCACGTGGAAATACTTAGATTAATGGAAAGGGGTTGATATTTAAGACAGAGCTAGCCAATAAGAAATGCTAGTAACAGGCCAAGAGCTTTATATCTAATACAGCATCTCAGTGTGTTATTTGGGACTGGAGTGGCTGTGGGACCAGGCCGGCGGGAAAACATGCTTGTAACACAAGATCCATGAGCCCTCCCTGCCTTTCACTTTTCCTTAAAGTACAGGATCACCATGTTTTAAGGGCTGGTCCCCATGACCTCCAAAGCCACCTCTGCCTCAAGGTCTGTCAAATCCATTGATATTGGCTGGCTGCATTAGTACAGTTCTCATTCTGCAGAGCTGACTCCTTTGCCTACAATTATGCAGTGTATGTTCCTAGCCTTCACCAACAAGACCACATAGCCATACAAGTGAGACTAAAGAGTGGCACAATGAACATGCACATCTTACTAAATACCAGTCTATTTAGTGTCTTTCCTGCTACTTCTTATTTGGGGGGGGGGTAGTTAATTTGGGGGCATGAAACAAATAAAAATAGGATGTTAATTTGTTTTTACTCATAAAAAGTTAACCTATGGGAAAAAATTTTCATGTAAAAATAATATTAACTATAAAATCTCCAACAATTTTAAAACACAAAGAGGAAAAAGCAGAAGTTGACCATAAGCCTACCCCAGAGATAGTTTAACGGTTTGGCATACAGCACTCAGAACTGTGGAGGACATTCATATGTCAGTAGTTGCTTTCCTACCAGAGACCCCCCCGCGGTGGGGGGGATTCACCCCCCCCCCGGGGGGGGGGGGGGGGTGCCCGGGGGGGAGGGGGGGGGGGGGCCCCGCGGGGAGGGGCAAGAACCTCTGTTTACAATGAGGAATCCAAGCATGTAAGTGTAAGTTGCCCCTTTCAACTACCCAGACTGGGAAAAAATCCGAGGCATATTTGTCTGAACAGCACCAGAACTGGGGGGGGAATTTATATGGGGGTAGTTGCTTTCCTACCAGAGACTTTCCGGCAGTGTGGCTGATTTACCTCATTCTTTGGGAAGGATGTAGTGTCTACTGTGGAATGGAGCAGTAGTTGCTGCACTGTGATGACTAAGAACCTTTCTCTGTTTACAATGAGGATATCCAAGCATGTAGAGTGTAAGTTCCCTCATTTCAAGTTTTACAATTCCAGACAATTAAAGAGTTTTGAAAAAAAAAAATATATTCCAAGTGCATATTTGATCTGATTGTCCCACTGTAACAAAGCTAGCTCAGCTCTGACTCTAAATGAATAAGAGCAGTTCCCAGATAGCCTGAAGGGGGCGCACCCTCCTCTTTCAATCAGTACATATGGCTCATGTGGTCTAACTTCAAACCCAGTTGGCCAGATAAGAAAACTAGCTCAAGCCAGGCATGGAGAAACCCCAGTGCTAGGGAGAAGGAGGCAGCAGAGTCACAAGTTCTAAGCCTAGGCCAGCCGGGGCTCAAGAAGAAGGGGAAGAAGGAGGGTAAGGAAAGGGGATGAGAGTTTTGGAAATTCCTTGGTTGGTGGTGTCGTATTCCCAAACATTCCCCTGCTCTCCTCTCTGAGTAAAACAGTCCCGGGAACAGAGGAAGAACAGGGATGAAGGCACGCTTTGTGGGTAGCTAACAACTATGGGCCTTTAGTGTGGGAACGAAGTCAAGGCATCTTACCCAAGCAGCTCATACCTTATACAGCGGCCGTCGCACATCTATGGGACAGTTCTGTATGACTTCATCAACAACATCCGAGATGGACTCCATAAAGTCTGGGTTGGCAAACTAAATGTTATATAAATATAAAAGAAACATTATACACTTTCCTCAAATAACAACATTTTAAGACTTTGTTTTCATGTTTAATTGTGTGTGTAGGTGTGTGTCTGAGTGTGGGTTTTGAGCACACGAGTGTAGTGTGCCCAGAGGCCAGAAGAGAGCATCATATCGCCCGGAATGGGTGGGTTGTGAGCCGCCACACATGGGCCCTTGGACTGAACTGGGATCCTCTGCAGGAGCAGTCCATGCTATTAACACTGGGCCATGTCTCAGGACCCCTCAAACGCATTTGAAGGTAACTTACAAATATACGATTCACTAGAACTGAGACCCCATTACACGAAAATAAAAGGGTATCAAAGAAATGCCCCAAGACTGAGCACATGTGCACGGGCTGATGTGAACATGAAATTTGTGACTTTAGAGAAGGGAAAATATCCACCAGTCACAAGGACAGGCGGCCCCACCGAGGAGAACACAGCACCTCATGCCAGTCAGAGAAGGCAAAGGGCACACACAACAGCTATATGGCAAGCAGTAAGTATTAATACCACAGAAAAGTTAGCCAGGCTCCGAGGGAAAAGCATGCTGTAGTGAGGGTGGTGGCTTTAAAACAAAGCAGTCTGTGAAGCAGTCACAGTGAATAAACAAACACCTTTGGACTCAACAGCATGAGTTAAATGAACTAAAGTAAGAAATGTCAACTCCAAATTTAACAATCTCAGAGGACGGAGACAACATGCAGTCATCCACCAGCTGGGCACGCACTGGTTTTAGATGGACGGACACAAAGCTCGATGGACTGTCTTAACCCACTTCCATGCAGCAGCCAGTGTGTAACAAACAGTCCTCAGGACCAATGACTTATATTACCACCACCACCCCCATTTTCTTCTATTGCTCTTCCAAGTTCTTCCTCGTCTCAAGGGGGATAACCCAACCTTAACTATTAAAGCAGGTAAGTCTACAGCAAGGCAACCCAGGCAGCCACACAGCAGGGGGATGCACCATGTGAAACAGCCAGCTTGCTCCCTGGACCCATTCACTGAGAACAGCTCTTGGTGCACACTGGGGGGCAGCATCGTTCTACATGCACTGTGCTCTGTACCAAGAGGCAGCTCTTACCTCAGGGTGGAAGAATATTTCCGGTCCCAGGAACCTTTCATAACCAACATCTATAATGAACTTTTTCTGGTTGATGGCATTGATCCCCGTGTACTGTTTGATCCACTTCCGGGGATCCACATCATACTTAGCAAATTCTTTGACAATATCAGGGCAAATGTAACAGTACTTCTCCTGTGTACACACAAAAAGATATCACCAAGCATTAATAACCGCCAGTGCCTCTGCCCTCTGACAATACACAGGAACCCACACATTACAGTTACCTACGGATATAACTCTGTCTACACATGGATACCCCAGTATGGCTGAACTATCAAGCTCCTATCTGGCTATCTTTCAAGTCAGACACAATTACACTTGAACAGGTAAGTCTGCTTTCTCTGCAACTTGATTATCCATCACTACCATGTTTTCCCTAATTTTGTTGCCATATTGTCTGAAATAATATCTATCTGTAAGCATCAACACCTTGTCCCCATCCAGGCTTTGCATGCTCCTTCAGGCTCCCTCTCAGGTGCCTGCCTCAATACTGCCCACATCTGGATCATTGAACTAAGCTTGGCATACTGTAAAGTACAGTAACCAACCACATCCTAGTGCCTGAGTGTGTGTGCGTGTGTGTGTGCATGTGTGCGTGTGTGCATGTGTGTGTGTGTGATACAAAGGGAGTGCTCTCCAGCCTCTTGCTAGTTGTCTGCTTGCAGAGGGATCCCCTGATCCGTGTGTGTGTGTATGTGTGTGTGTTTACATGTGTGTGTGTTTACTGTGTGTGTTTACATGTGTGTGTGCGTGTGTGTGCATGTGTGTGTGTGCATGTGTGCATGTGTGTGTGTGTGTGATACAAAGGGAGTGCTCTCCAGCCTCTTGCTAGATGTCTGCTTGCAGAGGGATCCCCTGATCCGTGTGTGTGTGTGTGTGTGTGTGTGTGTGTGTGTGTGTTTACATGTGTGTGTGTGCGTGTGTGCATGTGTGTGTGTGATACAAATGGAGTGCTCTCCAGCCTCTTGCTAGATGTCTGCTTGCAGAGGGATCCCCTGATCCGTGTGTGTGTGTGTGTTTACGTGTGTGTGTGTTTACATGTGTGTGTGTGCGTGTGTGCATGTGTGTGTGTGTGATACAAATGGAGTGCTCTCCAGCCTCTTGCTAGATGTCTGCTTGCAGAGGGATCCCCTGATCCATGTGTGTGTGTGTGTGTGTGTTTACATGTGTGTGTGTGCGTGTGTGCATGTGTGTGTGTGTGATACAAATGGAGTGCTCTCCAGCCTCTTGCTAGATGTCTGCTTGCAGAGGGATCCCCTGATCCACAATATGCCTGAGAATGTAATTTGCTGGCCAGGTATTCTAAGACATTTGATCAACATTGAAGATACAATGAAATACTTAGATCCCTGTCAGAAACAGTCTAGCTGAGAGTCAACCATGAGGCAATTGAAATAAAGTAAGTAAATGACATGATATAAGATGGCGGATACTATAGAATAAAAGCAGAATCAGGTGGGAACACTGGGGTTGCTAATAGATGGCTGCCACTGAAGAAAGGAAAACAAAGGCTGAGGGGAAAACTTTGGGAATATGTTTGCCTACAGAGAAAGTCTTGGGCACCTTTGCAAACCTCACCCCAGTGGAGAAGGGACCAGCTCTTCTCATTTGCTTTAGCACTGAGTGGCTCCCTAATCCTGGAAAATCCAGGCCCAGCAGGCAGGGGTTGGTGGCATCTTTTTGTAGGGACCTGTCCAATACCTGCCCCATCCCAAAGGGATTGTTTTCAACAAGTATCAGGCAAATCTGGAAATCTTGTCTCATACTTCCTTGCATTCAATGAGCCTCAGGAGATGCTCAGCTGAGAGGAAAACAGCAGGGGGTTAACCCCCCCTTCCCCAACTGCCCTGCACCTCAAAACCACACATCACACCCCACCTCAGATTCTTCTGCAGATCCAAACAGAATCCTTCCTCCTTCTCTCTATACAATAATCAGTCTTGGGCTCTTTAAGAATCCTTGCACTTTGATTTTTTTTTTTAATGTGTTTTGGTTTTGATGGCTGAAAAGCAAAGTTCCTTTAAAAGGGTCTGTAACTGCTGTACCTACAGCAATACGAAGATGGGTCAGGGCAAGTAGAAACTCTAAATAATGACCAAAGAGCCGCTTTGGTTCTTTTGTTACTAAATTCTAAAATGTCCTGTCACTGTTCTAGTGTGGGACTGAAGTCTGGAGACATGCAGGTGGATTGTGTTGAAGGGTTCTGAGACTTAGACTGGCCTGGTTCTGAGGTGTATGCTCAAGGCAGGGGGGCAGGTAGACAGTACAGGATTCCTGACAGCTACCGCTGCTGCTGTGACTTGCCCCCTGATTCTAATGGGAAGCATGGAGGGAGATGTGGAAGCAGCGTGCAGCTAATTGAAGGTTTTGTTTAATTAGGCTCCAATTAAACGATGCTCTACTGCACACGCTGGTGGCTCAACACCAGTTATCAAGCTGCTCTCTGTGTAGAAGAGCGTGTGGGGCCTCAAGTCCCCAGCACTCTGAACTCAACGGTAAAACAATCAAGCCCACACTCTCAGGGGACAGGAAGGGGGCAGGAGGGGGATGGTGGCATCGAGGGGAATGTCCAAGCACCATTTCGCTCTCACCCCCAAACCAGCCAGGTCCCCTTCTGTTTTTACCTTAATGGCTTTTGCGGTCTCCAGTGACTGCTCAGGAGGGATTCCCACCTCCCTCTCCCTTAGCAGCTGTTGAATGAAATACGTAATATCTCTACCTGCAATTGGGATGTGTTTGATGCAGCTTCCAATTACATAACCTTCTGCCTGGAGAGGAAGAGGAGGCAGGACAGCCATGTCAGTAACCACAGCCCAGAGTCAGCTGGACCCAGGCGGTTCCCATCCACACACCCCTCCCCCAGCAAGGAACTAGCTTACAATGGCTCCCACTCATGAGGTTCAGTACCTAAGGTCCTTTTAAATGACTGCATCTACAGTTCCATTAATATTTAAAATTCTAAACGACTCCAATAACCTGAATCTCCGTAAGCAACCAAAATATTGTTTTCATTAGGAACGTGGGAGAACTTGCACAGGTTAGTTCGGTTGAAAAAGGTGATGCTGTCTGGGAGAACAGTAAACTCAACAGGAATGCTTTCTTCTAACTAAACAGAAAAGACTTTGTCTATGCGCTGTTAAACCAACTATAAATCTCCACCTAATTCAAAGTTAACAACAAGGTAAAGTACAGAGACCTGTGATCCCAAAACAACTGATCCCAAAACCCTGAACCACGGACTTCCAACCTTCATCCGTAGTGTGGAAAAAACACCCTGAGGGTATTTATAGTAAAGAAGAAATAAAACCCAGATATGTGCTTTATGGCAGATACTACATATTCAAGAAATGGTTACAGCACAGTGAAAAATGACTCAAAGCCGCTAACCAGCCAGTGCCATACACAGACCAGTATGGCTCAGGATCTGGGTTCTTCCTGATGCATTCCTTAGCATGTCTGTGAGGGGCCCACAGAGAGTCCACAATGACTCTGCACAATCAACAAGCAGGCTAAAGCCAAGAGTCCACATGCCCACAGCAGTCAGATGGGCCCAAAAGTCCCCTCATTGACCTTTTGTGGCCACAGACTTGCCACAGAAGCCACAAGCTTGGCCACCCATCCAGCTTGTCTGCAAAGATACAGCTGTGGGGACACTGGTGTTCAGGTTTCACACTCTAGCACGTCATGGCTTTTGTGCCACAAGGCCCAGGGGAAAGAGAGGACATGGAGGTGAGCCACAGCTCCACACTGCAGGGGTGCGCTCTCCACACAGGCACAGATGGAGGGACCACCTTCCCAAGTCTTCCTGGGCTTTTTGCTCACGCTCCTAACCTCTAGACAAAAGAATAGGCCTTTCTGAAAAGTACAAGTATTTGTAACATATTTTAAGAAGGAGATAAAGGCCATGTACAAGTGGTTAAATATTACCCTCCTAACACACTGACTCTTCACCACCACATTGCTCTCAGACAGCATTTTCTGGATTAATAAGTAAATGATGCAGCATGCCACACACCTAGTGGCAGGAAAGTCAGCACTGTGTCACTTTAGGACCAGACACCACATCTTTAGGTAGTTATTTTTCATAGAAAATCTGACCATAACAGAAAGAAGTTATCATTAATATGCAAAATATAACTTTAGTGTTATTTATATGGCTAGAACACAAACTAGACATAGGATATCCCAATTTAAAATGTGGACATGTGTATACATATATTTGAGACTTAACCAAAGTTTGAAAGGCTGTGCAGTTTATAATGTGGTTATCTAGATGGGTTCTTATATATACTATTAATTTTTGTAAGTGGAGGGAGGGACTAACCTAATACATGGTGAACAGTTACAAATCACCTCTCTCCCTGAACCTGGGTTCTACATGTAATGTTTTCTTTTCCTACCACACTGGACATGATTAAAGAACAGGCTTCAGCATCCCCCTCACCCACAGTGTGCAGACGATGGAGATGATGCAGGCACATCTGGGGCCACACACCTGGAGCTGAGTCCTGCTGCTCCTTAAGGTACCACATCAGAGAGAAAGCCGGAAACAGAATGGCAACAACTCTCCCAGCAATTCCTGTAAGAGCCAGAGTCTGGCTCACACGTGGAAGGGAGAGGGGTCCACTCCTCCAATGGAGAGGACACGTGGGCAGGGGTAAGAGGGTGAGAGAGACCTGGATTGTCCTTCCTGACCATTAGGCCTCTCACAACTGTAGCCTTTTGGCAGACACAAAAGCAGAAGGGCATCGTCCCCTCAGTTACTGAAATGAAATTCTGACTATCATTTCTCAGTGAAAGGAAATGTACTTGTTTGCCTGGTTTTGGCTTAGCTGGGATTTTATTCACTTGTTTTAATCATTTTGGTGTGTGTGTGTGTGTGTGTGTGTGTGTGTGTGTGTGTGTGTGTGTGTACAGGTGCACATGTACATGCAGGTACCTGTGGAGGCGGAAGGTGTTGAGTCAGGGCTTCATGTATCCCAGACTGGCCTTAAACTCAGTCCCAGTCAAGAATGAGCTTTAGCTTATGAACTTCCTGTGTTCACCTCCCAAATGCTGGGATTACAGGCATGTGCCACCCCACTCAGCTTTAGACTTTCTTATGCCCAATCTGTATGTTTAAAACAGATTAAGGGGCTGGAGAAATGGCACACTGGTTAAGGTCATGGACTGCTCTTGCAGTGTCCTGAAGTTCTGTTCCCAGCACTGACATCCGATGCTTACCACCACTCATAACTCCAGTTCCAGGGTTTCCAATTCCTCTGGCTCTGGGGGTACCTGCATTTATATGCACAAACCCACACAGAGACATAACGTACACTTAAATGAACGTTTAAACTTAAGGACTGGTAAAATAGCTTAGAAGATAAAGGTGCTTGACCTGAGTTGATCCCTGGAACTCATATGACAGAAGGAATGAACAGAAACCCACAAGTTGTCCTGTGACTACTATATATGATCATGGCACATAACCCCATGCAAACACACACACACACATATAATTTTTCAAAAGCAAAAAACTTCAAATCTAAAAAGAACTCCATATACTTATATGTGTATGTTTATAACATTATATATGTGTGTGTATATATATATATATATATATATATAATTTATATATGGTAATATTGTAACTATGAGTGATCAGGAATGACTGACTTTCCATTGATACTAGTTGACTTTCAGAAGAATAATTTTTAAATAATTCCTTGAACCAAAAGAAAGACACAAAAGCCTCTTGCAGTTAAAGTTTGGAGTCACTTCCTTAATGTCTTAACCCCCAAAGGTATTACATGGACTTCTGCAATATGGAACGTGAGCTCTCTCCTTCTTAGCTCTTAAATACATTTAGAGGCAAGAGCAAGTTCTTGAAAGCCCCAGCTGATCAAAGCCTTTCGCTGGGCATGCCCTGATCCTCACTCTGGCATCCAGAACCATGTCTAGCTGCAGCAGCTCAGAATGATGAGTCAGGACACTGAAGTGACCCTGTGGGAATACAGCAGAAGCCATGCCAAAAAAAGAGAAAAAAAAATGACTATAGAATCTGCTCCATGACTTTAAAACTGCCAAAGGCACAAACATGGCCACTTTCAAACTCTTTTTCACCTTCCCAGGCTTTCTAAATCCCTATTGCCAAGACCAGCATGGTGGCACACACTTTTATAATCCCAGCACTTGAGAGTAAAAGGCACATGAATCTCTGATCTACACAGGGAGTTCCAAGACAGCCTGGGAGACTCTGTCTCAGAGTAAAACAGAAAGGGAGAAAAGAAGAGAGGGAGAGATGGAGGGAAGAAAGGGAGGGAGGGAGGGAGGGAGGAAGGGAGGAAGGAAGAGATGGAGGGAGGGAGGGAGAAGGGACAGAGGACAGGAAGGGGAGGGAGGCAGAAGGAAAGAAGGAAGGAAGGCAGGCAGGCAGGCTTCCACTGCCATTTCTAAGTACATCACATAAAAGGTGGTATTTTAGGACCCCCATCGCAAGGCCTAAGCTAAAGTGGCCTCAGCTGGAAAGTGCCAGGTCCCAGCTAGATCCGCCTATTGGTGCAGAAACATCCTGAGTATCAGCCCACCTTTGTCCCCCATCGCCAGGCCTTGGCTAGAGGAGTGACGCTGAATACACGAGACCTGCCTATCCACGTGGGACCACCTGCACTAGGAACATCCTGAGTCCCAGCCTTCAGGATCATTGACCCCATCGCCAGTCTTCTACTGGAGCCTGATCACTGTCCCCCATCCCCAGGCCCCTGCCTGTGGAGAGACCTCCTAGAGAGCTTGGACTACCCAGAGCTATAGTCATCAAACCTCTGACCCACCTCTAAGCCCACCAGGGAAGTACCATATAGAGAGGGAGAGACCTCACCAACACCTACTGGAAGAAGCTATGGGAAGACGGCAATACAGGAAAACACCTAACAACAGAAAAGACAAGCATGACACCACCAGAATCTAGGAAATCTACACCAACTAGACAGGAACACAACAAAGCAGATGAAGCAGAAGGGAACGACTTAAAATTTATCATCATAAAAATGATAGAGGCCCTCAAAGAAGATGTGAGAAAATCCCTAAAAGAAATGGAAGAAAAAACAAACAAAAAATTGGAAAAAATGAACAAATTTCTTAAGGAAAGTAAAGAAAGTACAGAAAGCCAAGAAAAAACAATTAAGCAGGTGAAGGAAACGGTTCAAGACTTGAAAACTGAAATAGAGAAAATAAAGACAACACAAACCGAAGGAATGCTGGAAATTGAAAAACTGGGCAAATGATCAGCAACTACGGACACAAGCATAACCAACAGAATTCAAGAGAAGGAAGAGAGAATCTCAGGCACTGAAGATAAATTAGAGGAAATACATTCATTGACCAAAGAAAATAGTAAATCCAACAAATCCTTAACACAAAACATCCAGGAAATGTGGGACACAGAAAAAAAGGCCAAACCTAAGAATAATAGGCATAAAGGAAGGTGAGGAAGCCCAGCTCAAAGGTGCCAAAAACATATTCAACAAAATCATTGAGGAAAACTTTCCCAAGCTGAAGAAGGACATGCCCATGAAAGTACAAGAAGCATACCGAACACCAAATATGCTAGACCAAAGAATTAGTAATCAAAACACCTAACATACAGAATAAAGAAAAAATATTAAGAGCAGCAAAGGAAAATGAACAGGTAACATAAAGGCAGACCTATCAAAATTAAACCTGACTTCTCCATGGAAACTCTCAAGGCCAGAAAGTCCTGGATAGATGTTCTGCAAGTACTAAGAGT